AAGGACACAAGAAGTCGACAATTGTCGAGTATTGAGAAGAATAAAAAAATTGACAATTGTCAAGTATTGGGAAGGACCCAAAAAGTCGACAATTGTCGAGTATTGGGAAGGACTCGAAAAAATCGGCAATTGTTGAGTATTGAGAAGGACCCAAAAAGTCGACAATTGTCGAGTATTGGGAAGGAACCAAAAAGTCAACAATTGTCGAGTATCAGTAAGGGCCGGAAAGGTTGACAATTGGAGATCATTTTTTATAGATGCATATTTACTTGGTAAAATTACTTAATCACTCTTGTTATCGGAAAATGACAAGTGTTTATCGGAGTGTTCAATGTTAAATACACTATATTGTACGTTATCCAAATTGTTGTTTGTTCATAATTCGTTCAGCCAATGATCAATAATCTTGATCAGTATGCATCTGTTTAAATATGCAAATCTTACAATGTAATGCAGTACATTACCGATTTTGAGAATGAATCTAGATTTTAGCTTTTTGTTTTCAACCCTATTTTGTTACTATATTATCTTACTATATATTGTTGTTAATGCAGATGCTGTGTTGGTAAGGAAGATGACGTCATTACCCGTGATAGTCCCCGCCGTCGTGATCAAGTTCATCCCCGTCAATGGTGAGATAAAAATACAATAAATCTAAATGTTGTTAGTCATTGTTTAGATATTATTTCAGTGGTCCAAAGTTTTGCCAGTCATCAATTAAATATCATGTTATATGTCCTAAATATTGTCTATCATTCGTTATATCACTGGTCGGAAGTAACGCATATCGCTCTTAAGTTTTACCTCGCTTGTCCCGGATGTTTGTATTCATATGGAGATAATAGGGATGTGGTTCAATATTTTAGCTACCTGGTTCAGCAATATATCTTTCATTTAAGTCGCTCCCGAGACGACGAAAAGCATACACATATGTAATACATATACTTGCTGATAACTAAATATATTTTTTATACTGTAGATAAGGAATGGGAAGGAAGATGACGTTATTTTTCGAGATATGATTACACAGGGATGATTAACAATGTACCTATTTCGTTTGAAGTCGATTTTTCGTTCTTTTTTTGTTACTTCTATTACCTTTTATACAAATTGTAACAATGGATTGAAATAAATACAAAGAACTGATACAAGGATCAGTTTGAACATTTCAGAGAAGTATCAGTCAATGTGCCCAACTTTGGTAAAACTAATTTGTACTACCTACATTCAGATCATTTAAACATTATTCGCAAATGGCCACCCTGTTGTCAACGAAAATTAGCGAGCCACGTGTGAGTCGTTTGTTTTGTTTGTTTGTCTGCCCAAATAATGTTCTTTTAACCACGTCACGTGGATACAACTACGCCAGAGAATGGAGCACTATCGAGGAGGGAAGCAAAACACGTGTCTTGTAGACAGCGTATGGGATTAAGTAGTTCGTCTCGTACAAACTAAACACAATTATTTGCTGTAAATCTAATGATAAAAGGTGACATTGCAGCCCAATGAAATTCTACGTTATTTTCAGTAGAAGTCACAAATTTGTGAAATTCTGGGTTATGGAAATGTTGCTATTAAACATGTTTAGAAATAGAAAAAAAAAACATTAATAAAGACCGTCCGCCCTCACGGACTGAATATCACTCGTGTTGTACATATCTGTAGACAGATATCTAAACTGATATGCCCACGAAATATGATACGTCATCAATCCTAAATGACACGTGATACATATTTAACCAATAGAAATTCGTTTTATGATGAATGCATAAAAAGAGTGTCTCTCTTCATGTAGAGATGAAATACGAATTAGTCGTATAATTACTATACCTACATTTTAATGAAATAACGTGTTGTGAAATTCTGATGTGAGCAACATGTAAATTAGTCAATGCGTTGTTGATTTCCGACAAGTGCAGCCTCCAACAGAATGGTCCAACAGAATCCTTCACGCCTACCTTTATTACACAACCACAATTCGCAGCTTATTACAGTCTGACACTTAATCACAATTTTAAATACCAAGTAAAAGACGTGTTTTCAGACGGTCTAGAAAGTTATACAAAAAGTATCAGTCCTTAGAATACATAAGTGTTTGCCGTA